CAATAGAATTCAATTTCAATTTCAACAACGAACATTCCATGAATGTCCATTTTATGTCTATGGAGGTACGGACGTGAATTGGATTTAAAATGGACGTCCTTGGAATGTCCTGCACTAGGATAGTACCTTTTAATATATATTAAAATGTTACAATAATATAATATCTACACATTAAAATAAATTTATTGAAGTAATGTAAAAATAAATCAATGGACAGTGTTAAATGGAATAAAATGGAATAAAATATTATAGATAGTATGAATTAAGCGCAAAATACATGATAAAGTCAAATAGTAAATAGCTAATTAATAATGAAATTATATTAAAATAAATATAATAAATTACCATTAAATTAAAATAAATTGAATTAATTGTTTCAATATACATTGATAAAGTGAAACATACGTATATTTCAACGTAGCTTAATTACCAAAATAAAACAAGTAAATTTGATCAGAGTTTGATTATGATAAAATGAATTAGTCGAGTGCAATCACTCCACGATTGAAACTGAGATAAGTGATTAGGAGATCGCGACTTAATTAAAATAAAACTAACAAAAGAACAGGAGTATCATAATTAATATAAAGTAAATTAAACTTAATGTCAAATTGTTCAAAATGAAATTCAAGTAACTAAAAGAAAATAAAAATTCGAAGAGTCAATTAATCTTTAGATTATGCCATTAATATATTGTACAGTGATTATAAGGACGTCTGGTATATATATCATTTACAATCAGAGGCAGATTCGAGTCAAAGAGTAAATGCCATATTTAAATTGATGATTCCATTGTAATAACTCAGCTATAACAACATAACAATAGTAATATAATATTATTATAATATAATATTGCACATAATACAATAATAATAACGATAATAGAGGAGAAGATAGTATTATAATCGCAGATATTATAGATATAATGGTCTCTCTTAATATATTCGTTATTAGGTGGCGAATTTTAATGATTTTTTATGAAATTATTTGTTTAATAGTTTGTCGTTATATCATAACGCTAATATGTGCCACAATAGTCAGCATTTTTTTATAATACATTATTACTTTCGAACATTTCAAGATATTATTAAGGTACATTTTATTATTTAATTACAAGGGTATAATAATTTTTAAATAGGATTTTGAAAATATTTCAAATAGGTAGAATTTTACGTGCTTAGAGATGGCAAGATAGTCAAGATAAAGGTGCTTCCTTGAATTTCATGCTTTTGATAATAACAAAATTCACTACTACGTACGTAGTATATAAATTCACACAAGAATCATGCAAACATTTAATCCTGCTAGACAATTTAAGGTTTTGATTTTTATAGTTTGTGTTATTACACATATACGCTCCTATATTATATTACAAAATTCAATATTTTTACACTATAGATTACCTTGCCATCTCCGAGAGCGCGCGAAATTTTGCATCATTCGTAATTTTTAAACTTTTTTGATTTGGAAATCATAGACTTTTATCATAGACTTTTTGTATTAGATTTTTCATCTTAAAATGTTGCAATGAATCTGTCTTTAAAATATTTATCGTCAATTTTGGAACATCCTGTATAATAATTGATATTTTTCCGATAAGAATTACTATTGCTTCGAATTATTATACTATTATATATTTCTGAAAATTAGTGGATATGCGGAAATGATAGGATAAACATAATACATAAGCGAGTCAGAAGCAATAGGCTACTTAGCGGCCATTGGAATCTAGTAGAATCAGTCGACGCCTCGCGGTGCGTCGAACCCTTATTATGAACCAGCGGTACCGCTTGATGCAGGTTTTAAGGGGTGCGCGAGGGACCGGGATCAGAGGAAAGGGTAAATAACGTTCGAGAAACCAATATCGGTAAAGCCCCGGTTGCCTGCGAGACAAAAGTTTCCTGGTTGAGCTTGTTGGGCAAAGGCAACTTCCGCAATAGTGTTGCGGCAAAGAAGTAGGAAAACAAAACGGGAGAAAAGAGGAAGGGTGAAGGAGGAAGAAAATAAGGCGCGCGTCCGTTACCCTCATCGATCATCGGTTATAACTATCCGTTCGTAAAACGTTACGTTTTCCGCGAAATGATGTTCTCTCTTACAAAGCGCTATTGTGTTCTCAGTTGAACAGCGTTTTTTAATGTTATTGCCTTGAAGGTTCGTTTGTGAGAGATTTCTTATCACGACCAACATTCTAAAAAATTTACTTGTGTACAAATTATGCAATATAATATATAACTTTTGATTCAGATGGTAAACCATCGCTGAATTTTTTGTATTTTTAAAATACATCGATCTAGAATAAATAATAAACTTTTTCATAATTTCTTTATTATTTTGAAATATCGATTATACCTCCTTAAGTTATAGTTAATGCATACGTAGAAGAATTAATTGTTGAGAATGCGAATTCAATGTTTGAAGCTTAAAAAAAAGAGATATGTTTGAATGAATGCGTACGTATAGATTATCTCGATTATCTTGAAACCTTGCGAATTAAGTACATCCACACAAAACGGCGCAACGATTTGCAATTTAATCAAATATTCCTTCGATGCACACCGTATATAAAAATACGAAACTGTTGGCTTCATGGAAGGTATTAAATTTATGAAATGGCTTTTTTCATCTGGATACAGTTGGAAATCGAGTCCGTTATCAATCTCTCAGACAGCTCTCAATATTACACTCTCATGAGTTTTGAGCGTATAAACGTTTTAAAATGGAAGCCCTCGTATAGGATGTCAAACTTGATCTTCAAACTTAGCGTTCAATCATTGTATTGGACTTGCATGCAAGCAGTTTTGATGAAAAATCGTGTGTCAGCTTTTTAAAGTTAAATCTTTTTTTGCCAAAAGTTGTATTAAATTAAAATCTGTTGCATTGGTCTTTTCTTCTATGTATAAATTTTTTTTAAATATTCTTTATTATATAAGCTCTCTTAAGCTTTATATTCATCGCAATCAGCATAAAACTTTCTGAAATCGATTTGTTATACGGAATAGTAAAAAATTTATTAACATAATATAGCAGAGAGCGCCTTAGGATCGGTTAAAATTGGATGTTTCAAATAATATAATATTCTTGATTTACGAATTTAATTAATGTGTGACTGTGCGTTAAAAAATGTTCGGAAAACACGTTCATTAAAACAATCAATCTGAGATGCTAATCGCGAGTCGAAACGTTCGGATATTCGCGAATGTATATGAATGTAGAGGATTATAATCTTTTCTTATTTCACATAAGAAACTTTTTAAAAAATTTAAATATTGTTATTTTTAAAGAGACTTGTTTTCGGTTGAGAATAAGTATGGAATTTTAGTCTTTATCTAATAGCATCGAAAATAAATGCCATTATCCAAAAGAGTGCGTATTATAATTTCAAAATTCTGGAATTGAGGGTGAGAAAGTAATAAAATTCTATCTACCATGCCAAATACTATTCTTTTTTTATGACATTTAGGATGGCTTGAATAAAAATTCAAATACCTTTCTGATGAAATAGATTTAGAAAATCAGTTAAAAATGACGTAATTTTAACAAACGTTTTATGTTCAACAGTACATCTCAGAATTCGTTAATTGCAAGATTTTTTGAATTATAATTTTTTTACATTTAAATTCTCTCTATAATTATTTTAAATTGTAAGGATCAAACATGTCTAAATCTCAGATATTGTTCCATCTTTTATTTATTAAGTAATTTTAATATTGTTGACAATGTTGATTCTTAAATATTTATCATAATGTGAACATAATTTTAGACTAATTTATATCATTGTGTTAAGATTTTTAAAAAATTGACACGTTTAGTCCATAGTTATATAATTTTGATCATAGTTATGAGAAGAGACATGAAATCGTATTATACTGTAATCACATGTAATACATTTCATATCATACCGTTTTTATGGCATGAAGAAGTTCCAATTAGAAGATATGTTCATGGAGCAAGGCAACTTAAATAAATTTCCGGATGAGACTACTTCCTATAATCCGAAAAATTATCATCATCTTTTTATATTCAAACATGCAAGTATTTTATGGGTTTCAATACGATTAATTAATTGCGAGATTACCAGTGGTACCAAGTTAAATTCTACTATTAAAATAAAAATTAAAAGTGATACTATTTTTATCATTTACTTAATCCAAATGGTATTATTTTTAATTTTTATACAATAAAACCTAAGTATATGCATATCTGATTGAAGTTCCTATTCCAATCCAAATAGTTTAAATTCCTTTTAAATGAAATTATTATATCACAATTTATTCAAAGACATTTTCTCTTCTAACTAAAGTAGTGGTTATTTAATTCTCCTTCAAAATATTATACAAAACATTATCACAAAATTGCGTTACCTTGCTTAATTTAAGTGTTACCACAAAAAATTAAAAAATTAATTATGTAAAATAAAAAAATTTAAATAGAAAAATTTTTCATGTAAAAACACTTAGTGTTGCTAGATCTCGATATAATAACGTAGTAGTAAAACATGAATGTAATATTTAAAAAAATAAGAAAAATAAGAATGTAATTCTTAGCAAAATAATATAAATAAGAAGCATATTAATAAGGAAAATTAGAATCATGTTAAAAAATATGAATATTTAGAAAAATAAGAAAAATAAGAAGTATTTCCAATGAGAGTTAAAGTATCTAACGTGAATATGTGCGATTGAGTTATAGAGTCGTGTAAATTATGAACGTTGTGAATGTTATTAAGTTTAAGTAAAAAAATTTATTCGAGAAGCACGTATGCTTAATGTCTTTTTTACCTTTTTTAAACAAATAAATATATCCTTGAATAGAAGAATATTCTTATAAGAATATAAATAGAAGATAAATATACACATTTATGACTACTTATGCATGTTTATACATATTTATACGTATTTATAATGTATAAATAGTTTTTTACCGGGATCATATTGTTTTTATCATGTTAAGTAACTTTATATATTGTGTTCGTCGATAAGTATAAAAGAATTCGTCGATGAGTATAAGAGAGTGAATGTGACGGAAATTTTTGAAACATTGAAGAGAATCAGTTGATCGCAGATTTTACATTTTCGTATGCCTAAACGTGAAATTTAAATATGATATCGTGGCTAAAGAAATGCATTTTGAACTGGTTTCAATCTCTGGTTTTAAGGATTATTAAGACTGGCGAAATGCCTAAACACGTGGCATTTATCACTGATGGTAACAGACGTTATGCGAATAAATATAACTTGAGCCGAAGAGAAGGATACTTAAAAGGGTATGTATTTTTAAAGAGAATTTGCAGACACACTGGCTGGTTGTTCATTTGTCTCATACCTTATATTTTATTTACGATTACAGATTAAACAAAATAAATAATATATTAAATTGGTGCATGCATCTCGGTATTGTAGAAACCACAATTTATTTATTTAGTATAACGAACTTTAAACGTAGCAAAAAAGAAATTGATAATCTCATGGACATTATCAAGCAGCTGTTCAAAAGTTTATTAGAAAACAAGTATGTGTAATATTTAGAATTTTTTAAATCAGGTATCACATCGCAACACAATATATAGATTTTGTTATTATAAATTTATATAAACAATTTCTAGGGAAAAATTGAAGGACAATGGAATATGTGTTCGTGTGATTGGCAATTTGTCCCTGCTGTCAGAAGATTTAAATAAATTAATAGCTGAAGTTATGATTGTTACTGGGGAAAATAATAGAATATTTATTAATTTTGCTGTTGCTTATACATGTAAGTACAATGAATCATATTTATGTTTACACTTGATTTTATATATTACATAAACCTGCGTTTAGGAAGTGCGCTATCAGCGCTATTGCATCATCTTGTTTTATGTCATCCTCTTGTTTTATGTCTCATAAACAATTAAGATAGAAAGATGCAATAGTGTTAACAGTATGTTCCCAAAACACAGCCTAATCCGATTTAAAAAGATCATTGATATATCGGTATACTCTCTGGACATTTAATTTCGTGACATATATATAAATAAATGTTTAATATTTTATATAATTTAAAAATATATACACACATACATACACACATGCATATATATTTTTTATATTTTTTAATATCGCTATAGCAAGGGATGAAATTACTCATGCAATTAAAGATATAATACAAGGTGTAAAGAATACTGATATTTTACCAGAAGATATTAATGAAGATCTGATTACTGATTGTTTGTACACTTACAAGTCTCCAAATCCAGATTTATTAATTCGTACTTCCGGAGAAAATCGACTTAGCGATTTTCTCATGTGGCAAGTAAGAAAACTTATTTAATTTTTATGATTTGAATCTATTACCCCTTGTAATCAAAACAGGATCATGCATTTCAAAATTTTATCTAAATTTCTTTTAGATTTCCAGTACTTGTATTTACTTTGCTAAAGTATTATGGCCTGAATTCAGTCTATGGAATTTTCTTTGTGCAATTTTTTATTATCAGAGATGTTATTCTAGCTTGCAAAAAAATAAAAACAATTTGAAACCAATTATGCACAATGCTAGAGTATCCATGTTTATTTATAAATTATATAACAAACGTGACATGGCAATCGAAAAAATGTATCAATCAATAATTTAATGAAATAAATTATTTATTTCTAGGAATTGCTGATTAATATATTCTAGTAGATAAGTTGTAAGTTGTAGCTATTCTAATAAATAAAATGTAATTTATACCGTTAAAGGCATTTATTTTTTATTGATTGTGTTCTCACATGTACGGTTTCATAAAATTTAATATTTAATATTGTCAAAAATGGATAAGTTGTGCTATCTGAATAAGTTGTGAAAAGTGGATTTAATGTTGCGTTAAGGGATTCATTATTAGCTATTAGCGATATTTTTTAATTATAATGCTAATACATTATCAGTTTTATTAGTATTGTTGCTACATTAATTTGTATCTACATTTCTCTTTAATCTGTAAATTAAAGAAAAATCTGGAATTTAATTTTTGGTTGGTGTTGAATAGTGTTTAAATTATGACATTAAGTACAAAATTCATTGTTTACCCGCTAAACAAAATTATGTAATGTTTTTGTAACATTGCGTTATAACTATGCGACAATTTGCGTTTTGTCAATAAATGTTTTGATAACATCTTAGGAATAAAAAATGTCCTAAGTCAATTGTCTTACATATGTGTCACATTGTTTCTGCGACATTTGTTGAAAATTTGTTTCCGATTTTTTTTGTAACGTTTCAAGAACAAGAAATGATTCGTTTGATTTATATTTAATTTACATAAATATTACTCGAATTGTGAACATTTTTATAACGTGAATTTGGACAGTTTAAACTTAAATTTTTATTTAAGATAATCTTAAAATTTACTTTAAGAAAAATATGAAAGAACGTTTTTCTTCAAGATAATATTGTAATTGTAAAATAATTTTATAAAAGAGAGAATTTAATTTTGAGAGAGAGAGAGAGAGAGAGAGAGAGAGAGAGAGAGAGAGGGAGGGGGGGGGGGGGGGAAGAAATTTGTCATTAAAATTATTTTCCTTCAATGTTAGATATCCGTGCAAGTAAGCTTTACAAATTAAAATTAAAATAAGATTTATTTGAAATTGATTACACAGAATAGTGTTATCTATTTACTTCCCTGAAGCTCTCAATTCGTGAAGAGATTTTTACGTACTTTACGTACTTTTTTCTATTACTATTTTTCTATCCCTATTTTTCTATCACGTAGAGATTGTACTTCTAGAGGTGCGTTTTAAAAAACGACTTTCTCGAAAAATGTAAAGCAAGCAAAATCTTTTCGTAGACTTTTTACCGCTGCGACAGTCGTGACGCACGCACATTCGTGGAATCGCAAAGGTGGTCGACGCAACCGACGCTAGTCGTCGGTTCATCGTTTACACCCTTATTACGAGCCTCGTCTGCAGAAATTGCGCTTCGTTCGCACCAACGATTTCTGGGTAAACTCTTGGAGGTAAACGGGACGCAAATATCACCGGCGTTTGAACGCGATTTATCGAGCACTCGAGCCGGCTCCTTACGTACGCATCCTTCGTGCCTTCGTCATCCGCGTGTGCATGCGCATTTATATAATACGATTACCGAAACGAGTCACGCTTTCCTTTTCGTGTCAACATGTCTGCTAAATGCACCGATGCCAGCCGTGTTTAAATAAAAATAGCGGCTGACTCTATTAAATCCGTCGCACGGTTGGTTAGAACGAAGTTATGATGGGAAATGAATGGAGGAGTAAACTTATTCATCCTTTTACATCTTTATTTATTAAGAAAAAGATCTGAATTTTATTTTCCTAATTTTTCCATAACTTTATTATACTAACTATATGTACGTGAAAATGTTTAAGAATAAACTTTAAGGATGTTTTGTCTATACAATATTAACTAAAAGTATCAATCAAATAATCAGTCAAAAATAGCTAATTTTACTCAATATCATTAAAAAAATGTTGATGATATTAACTCATAAATACGAATCTGAAGCTAAAAACAAAATAAGAAATTGTTTGGTTTATTAATGGTATTGTGTAACAAAATGATCATATTTTACTGTAGTTTTAGGTTAATAATTTTTAACCGTGTAAGTAGATCCAAATAAATTTTTGCACAAATATTTGTTATTGTTATCTTAGTATATGTTTAAAATTTGATTTAATTTTAGTATTATTTCTTCATCAAATTTGCAATTAAGTATTATAAAACGCGATTTTACATAAGAATCAAAATAAACAAAAAAAAATTAGATGACTTTTAAACTAATGAGACAACGGTGCTTGAATTTTTCACAGATATTCAGAAGTAATAATAAAATAATTTTAACTATTTATATTTTTGGTAATATTGTTTTGAGATGTGACAAATACATTCTTAATGAAGATCGAATTTCGGTTTTAAAAATATGGAATCAATACTGTATTCTATTATTAACTTCTAAAAGATTCAAATAATCTATATACCGAAGAATTTTAAGAAGTTTTATTTTAGATTGCTTAATTATAATAGATTATCTAATTCCTTTTTTTCTCTATAGCTTTAATATTTAACTTCATATTACATTACCAATGTAATATGAAGTTTATTGTATTAAATAATTTATATAATGAAGAGAACTTTGAGAAAATTTATTTGAAATTATTTAAGTAACTCTTCTTTTCTTTATTAATTTTAACATTATATTTTATATTATATTCCATAAAAAAAAGTATTAAATTATTTAAATAATGAAGAATTTGTTTAAGATTGTTCAATTAACTTTTTTCTTTCTCTATACTTTTAATATTTTATTTTATATTATTATACATTATCTACTTGTCTTTATAATTGTTGTTAACGATATTTGTGTACTCTATTTATTGTGTCTACTACATATGCACAATTATAAATTAATGGATAAATTTAAATTTTGATATAAGAAAAGTATTTTATCATTATATTTTTAAAAATCGTTCTTTAATTTATTTTTTGCTTTTTCTTTTTAAATAAAAATTTAACTTCCTTTATTAATTAATTATTTATAATAACAAAAACTTGGCGGAACAATTTTTGAAATTTTGAATTGCGTACGTTGTAACGGAAGTGCGCAGCGTTATGTTGCATGCAACGGCATCGTAAGTGGCTTACTACTCGCATTTCCGGCTTCTATAGCATTTACGGAGGAAATTCAGGGTAATCATTAACAAACATTCTCGCCCTTTGATCAGACTTCCTTATGGTGTGCGTGCGTTCACTGTGTAATTGGAATGGCCGGTGGCATGCGCTCGTATATTGACGTTCCCCATGTTGCAATATCTCGTACAATGTTACAACAAACAATTGCTTTAATTAAAATTATTATGTTGCGTTAAGTACGTCATGACAATGTTGTTCAATATTCTGCTACCGTTGAACAAAATATTACAATTTTCCATTTAATTTGTGTCTGTTTGCCTTTTATGTGCGCATCGATGAAACATCTGAATCGCTTAATCTCGTCTCAAATGCGGATCGCTTTAATAATCTCAAATTATATTATATATACATTACAACGATATCATCAAATACAAAAAAAAATATACTTATGTTCACAGCTAGCATATTTCTGGGAGAAATAATCTTTTTCTCTCAATAAATATTATATTTAATTTTACGAAAATCAATTTATGTTCTTCGGATAAAATAAAATCACGCGATAGTAATATACACTCGTAACATCGTCGCGTAGTGGAAAGCACGCTAAGGCTCGCGACGTGCCCGCGATAAATCGGAAGCGTGGTAAAATAGAAGTTTTCCAAGCGATTGAGCCCACTCGGAAATGCACGGGGCGTATTTTTCCAACCGCCGCTACCATTTTTCCGCAAACGCGGCGGCTCGCGATGAGTTACAACCGCCATAATGCTATGCTAGTCGGCACCGCCGACGCGGTCACGTAGAATCGCGTACGTACGTGGACCGGGTGGTTGCAACGTACACACGCACACACACACACACACACACACACACACACACACACACACACACACACACACACACACACACACACACACACACACACATATACACACATGCGCCAAAGTCCGCGTACCATCAATACACGTTCGGTGAAGACGCTATCGAAAGATTATACTCGGAAAAGCGTGTATTAAACGTCCTCGATATGTAATTATGTATTCGTGATGCGCTCGCGTCGTTACAAACATCGACGAGAAACGCTACAATGTCAAATCGATGTATTTCGATCTCGAGGATCGCTGAGAAATCTCGATTTGATCCTATCCAATTCTGTCCAACATTTTAGGATAGAAATAACATCAATTTTTTGCATGACAGATGAGATTAAAAAAATATTTCATTTCAATCTAAGCTGATAGATTAAATTCTTCAACGATTTTAAAGATTTTTAGACAGTTTTAGTAGCAAATATTAAACTTATAGAATATTAAACTTGATAGAATTATATAAATGTATTTACAGCAAAAATCTTAGTCGTATTACTTATATTAGTAGATAGTGAATTATAAAGTTACGAAGTAAAAAACTTTTAATTCTTTTATGAAGATTGAAATAGTAATCGAGATTAAGTTATCAATTAATTTAATTTAACTAGCTTAAATTAAAATAACAAAGATATCTCAATGCTCAAAATAATTTAGCCACTTAAAAAAGCCCAAGTTTTTATTTGAATAAATAGCACGTTCATTAAAAAATTATTACTTCTAATCTACATTCCTCATTTTTGAGACGAACAGTTAAGAGTTACGAGAATTTCTTAAAATATCCATCGGCACAAATATATATTTTACAAAAAGCTTTTTCTTTTATTTTTTAATAAGAACAGAATCGAACTTTTAATCACTATTACCAATATGAAACTCGATTAATCTTTTCATCACATAAATCTTAACAGATATAAAATTTTTTTAGGATTGAATTTTTTCTATAAATATTAATGGAAATCTTTAGTTTGTCTTATTGCAAAACGCAATTAACGAGGATTACGTTCTACCCTATCGGGTCATTCGATCCCGGCACGTTGTCGCTCGCGAGCACTTCGTTGCCTACCCTATAAATTACATATGAATAAATGATCGACCGCAACTCAACGCGGCCGGAATATCCGGCAAACACACACGCACATCTATACACGCACACATACGCAAAATTGCTCTCGTTTAGAGCGTGCAAGCGTTCTCGCGCTCCCATGAGTGGCGTGCGACATCGTCGTCATCGTGTCGACCACGAGACGACGGTAGTAAACGGTCGACCGCGATCGCGGTGGTAAGAAGGGAACTGGTGGGGTGCGAAGGGGTGGTTTTCCAAGGTGGCACGGGTGCCGACGGCTCTTGCGGAGAGGGTGTAAGAGAAGCGAGCACGAGAACGAGCAGCAGCGAGTCCAAGGAAACCGCCGCCGGTCAGATTAGATCTTTCCTTCGAAGGGTTAAGCTCTACCTAGGGCCTTACGTCGCGATAAGGCCTGCAAACGCGCTCGTTCGAGGAGCTTTCGTGTCGAAACCTGACGCCCCCTCGCGTGTCGTCTCCTACGACATACCTCCCTTTTCCCCGATCTGCAGCGCGGCGAGGGGGTGTTATAAAAATATTCCGCTGCTCTGTGCTGTTCGTGGTTTCTTTGATACGCAAGCATTCGTGACACGAATCCCTGCTTCTTGGGCATTTCGCAAATATGCTCATGAGACCATATAACCCTCCCTCGGAGAGTTGGTTTCACCTTTATTGCGGATATCCTCATATAGCTGCCGATCGATTACACCTTACTGATTTCTCGAACTTGACCGCGCTTGGATAGTTTGCTGATTTCATATTTATTTTATAATGCATTCTTTCACAATATTTACTTCCATAGGTTACTTCTTTTTTTATTATCTCTTCTTATATTGTCGTTTACAATAAAATAAAATTGTATTCTTGTAATCTTTTTGTACTAAACATTTTGGATATTGAGATTTATCAGAAAAATATATTGATTTTTTTGTTGAAAACAATCTAGACATTTGCAGAGTTTGATAGAAATCGTTTAAAAATAATATCCTGCGGCGAGGCAATGGTTTAAGTAAAACAATACCACTCTTCCAATGTTTATAGTTCTAGTCATTTGAAAGAAACATGAAAAAGAACATTCTATAAAAATATGCATAGATATAAATGATAGAAATTTCTACAAATATAAAAAACAATAAAAAGTGTACAATACAGTTTATATATGTATATTAAAATCTGTATTAGTACTTTTTTAATTCTCAAATTTTAACGCTTTCCAAAAATTTTTCTAAGATTTAGAGGAACTAAAATAATTTTTAAATAAAGCATTTTGGTTATACTATATCTATTTTGTACAGCTATATTAAATATTAATATTTTATCATGTTATTTAATATTATTTAATAATACATCAAGAAGATAAAGTGATGGTACTAATTTTTAAAAACTCTTCTGTATTAATAAAACGTCTAATAATCTACCTATTTTTAAATTATATATGTCACTTTTTAATCAACAATTATTCTAAAAAGTAAAAATAATAGTAACAAATTTAAATATAGAGAAGCAGAATATACATAGGCGGTCGTTGCTGTTGCAAATTTACTGGCGAGACAGTTTGATTCGCAGCAATTGAATAACAAAATCATCGCGGATCGCGAAGGCGTATAATGAAAGGAAGGTTGTAATCACCCTCCTCCGTCATTTGTGAACGTCGGGGCTTCTCGTAGACGATCCGCTGTCCCGCCCTCGACCTCCGCTTGCGCGACGGTGACGAGTTTACACGCCATCCAGTAAGCACGCGCCAATTTTAATACCGTCGTCAATTTTGACACATGAATATGAAGAACGGGCCAAAAATAAAGAATAACGATTAAATGATTAAATTCAGACTTTCTTTTAATAGAGATAAGGAATAAAGCAAAAGAAATCTTTTAGTGATTTTAATAAAACAAAACTTATGTGTGGCTATTTTTATACAAAATGTTTGAGAACTATTATAGAATGTGAAATAGTTGTATGAAGAAAATGTACAATTAAATTTTCTCGATTTTGCTCGATAAATGTTCAAGTGACACAAATGACAATTTCGTTAGATTACACTGTTGCGTTGTTACTTCATTATGGAGCGTTTAAATTTTTTCCTTGCGTTTATATACATCGCGTTTTATCGGGTCGATAATGAAAAGTAGAAACTTGCAGTGGTTGATACGCCACGTGGCGCGTGAAATCGTTGTCATTCAATTCCGGCTTGTTTCCCAAATCAAAATAAAAATTTCTTGATGATTGTGCAAAATGTTTTTGCAGATATAATAAAATATGTAAAATAAAGATTCTTTTTTGTTGAAAAAGATAAGTTTTGTATTTCCTTATGAGCGAGCATAAAGTACATGATTAAATTGTTTATTTGCAGATATTCTCATTATTAATTTCCAGTCATCTTTAAAAAGCTTATGACATAAATGAATTATGATATATTAATAAATAATTTTAGAATAATATACATATAGATACATACATATAGACATTTTATAAGCATTAATGAATATTTTCGAATAATTACTTTATTATATTTATTATATTTATTACTTTCTATATATTTTACATAAATTATTTTTATATATTGTAAAATGGATATGATTTTTATTAATATATGATGAGTATTAAAAAATATGAACGAAAGTATAAAGAAACATAACATATAAAATAATAAAAAATAGGCAAGAAACAATTTTTATTCGATTTTTTAAAGATATATTAGAATTAACTTTGTAATATAATGTATATATTACAAAGTTAATTCTAATATATCTTTAAAAAATCAAATCGAATAAAAATTGCTTCTTGCCTATTTTTTATCATTTTATAAAGGGTGTTTTTTTAAGCCCGATAGAACTTGAAATTGTAAAAAATAAAACAAAAAATTAAATTAAACAGCCGCGGTGGCCATATGCCCGAAATCATTTTCAAATGTTAATGCCATGCATTGATCTTTCGACTAAAAAAAATTTTTTGATTATAATTTAATTTTTGTGTTAGTTTTTACAATTTTAAGTTCTATCGGGCTTAAAAAAATCTATCGGGCTTAAAAAACACCCTTTATGTTATATTTTATATGTTATGTTACAATACAATAGATACCTACATATCGTTTCCTTATTCCACAGCTCAAAAAATTAAGCTTTTCAGAAGAAGAAAAACCATCTCCTAACTTTACAGAAAATTATCGATTAATCAAATAATATTGCGATAAAAAGAATTTATTTTTAACGTGATCAAATGTCATTTTTGTGACACAATCCTTTTTTGTTTTACAATCCTTTAAAAAATACCACTTGTTTTGAATCTTGACAACTTTTTATGAAGTGTAGTTAGTTCACTTTTAATTGAAAGGATAGTGTTTATTTAACTCATTTATGGTAACATTTTGTAAAGCACTTTATTTGAACTGTGTCACATTTGAAATACGAAAGAGATATTCATATTTCATGTTATATACTTATTCATGTAATATTAACAATAAAAACTAAAACAATGTTATTAAGTTATTTCATTTTCCGAATTTTTTATTATTATATTATAAGTTATGGTTAAGAAATATTTCTGTGTATACAATTTTACTCGATGCATCTGCTGATACATGTTGATAAGAGTTACATAAGAAAGTTTCGTGACAAAAATGCAAGCGCAAATATCGCAATGATGAAACCACATAGAGAAGCGTTTCATTCGATTCCGGGTGATACCTATCGATCGAATTAAAAATCGAGTCGAGCCGTTTGCGGCTGCCAACGACTCTTTCCACTAGATATTTCGGAACAAATCAACATTGAGAATTTCTTGTATTGCCATGAATTTAATTCAATTGTGTGTTTCCACACATATGAATACTGTTGTATTTATTGATAGTTATGGATTCACAAAATAAAAAAGTGTATTAATTTACATTTGTCACGACAAAAAATTTGTGGAGAATAAAAGAGTGTATTAATATCTATTAATTATGTAATAATAATAATAATAATAATAATAATAATGATAATAATAAATTAAAAACAATGATAGTAATAAAGAAATATGAATGTGATATAAAACCATCTTATTCCCATGTTCCTTGTTTCAATATGATTTTTATGATATACTTACTAATATTGAAAGAAAAGTATTTAGTATTTGTGACTACAATTATATGATAAAATAATTATGATTACAAGTTTCATCTATTATTGTTATAATACAGGGTCCGGCAAAATGATCTCCCACATTTTAATCTTTAATAATTTAAAAATGTGGGAGATCATTTTGCCGGACCTTGTATTACTAATAATAATTACATTTATATCTATCAAAGTCTATCAAAAAAATATATATATCATTGACATTCAGAATGATTATAAATTAAAGTTAAATTATGGTAATTGCAAGCATTTTTTTTTCTTTCAGTGTATTAGGACATTAAGATAATTAAAACATTTGCAGTCGCCATTGAATGATACGCATCAACGACTAAATAAATGATAAAGTTTATCACGACACAAAGTCTAGGAGAGACTGAGAGATTTCCGTCGTCGATAGGTCATGCGGCATGCCTAAATCATCCCTCCGACGGCACTAGAAAGCGCATCCGTTCGCGCACGATCTCCTTTCGCCGTGAATTCCGAGACACTCGATGCATCGTGGGCGCGATGCAGATTAGGAAAGTACGCCGGAGGTGCAACGATATATTGGCAATAAACCGACGCCTGGCGCATCGAGCCGGGGATAAATTATTGTCGGACGGAGGAACAGGTCCGTTGCACGTCCCGGCAATTCCGTCGCTACATCGCGCTACATTGCAGTGCAATTATATAACGCGGACGGAAAAGCTCATGTCGATTACGCGATTACGAAAAGTATCACCGTCGGACAAGTCATTCCTGATACTGTCAATCTTCCATCATATTTCTGTCCTGGTCTCGTTAAATCGCGATAGATTCAACGCATCAATTGTCGCGAATGTAACTATTGCCTTGTAAATTCTGTAATTGGTGTGAAACGTATCTTAACAATGAGATTTTATTATAATATAACGCTGCAGATTTTTTTATAATATAACTTCATCTATTACAGACAATAAATTAGTAATTAATAAATTATAGTAATTAATAAATAAATTAGTAGACAAGTAATTTAATTTGTTAAAAGAGTAAACTTAATTCAAATTTGTGACCGAATTGCTCCAAATTAACTTTTGTTATACTTTTGGTACAATAACAATAAAAGCGTTAAAATTGTGATTTTGAATGATATATGTATCTGGGGCATTCTATTTTTTGATTTTAACCAATTATTCAACGCTATACTTCACGTTTTATCGTAGAGGAATTGCGAGTGTCACGTGAGCGTAATATTTTTATGATCGCACGATCTAAAATTATATCGCGTTAATAAATCCAGCGATGAATCAGAATTAGTAACAAAGAACCCGAGGCACGTATATATACGTGTCATAACTCAATAAAATTATCAATAAAATGAGGCTCCGTCTTCGTTCTACACAAATGTCGATGGCGCGTCTTGTAGCCGTTTATAAAACACACCGGCGCGGCGACGTTATTGATTTTCTAGCGGCGGGCTGCTTTCTTCTCCGATTCTTGCTCCTTCTGGTCTTTGCGCTCACGTGCGATTCATTTCCCTCGACGGGGCACGGCGAAATTATAAACGAAACGACGGAATCTCGTGACCTCACTTTCGTGCGGGGCATCGATCGGTCGGCGACGACGACGACGGCCGCTTCGTCGGCCCGCTCGTTCCCGCTCGTTTCCGTTTGCGAAAATGCGGATTAGACGAACGTCTTGGTGAGAACTGCATTGCGTCTGAACGGTGTTAATCTAGATCTGAGAGAAATTATTTCATTTTATAAAAAATATAAAGTCAACAGATCGTATATACTTTGGAGCGATAAGTAATTATATATACTGTTTATATAATTTATATTATTATTATTTTTTTTTTATATCAACTGTTTAATTATACTTTGAAGAATATCAGATAATAGAAAATAGGTCAGATAATAGAAAATAGGTACTTATTTTATATTTTAACTTAATTAAGATTTTTCTCCTGTAGAAATTATATACGTGTGAACATATATATTATTTTTATCGATTAAAAAAATTAATTGTATATTAAGCAGTTATATGTGTGTATATATATATATATATATAAACTGATTAATGTACAATTAATTTTTTTAATCGACAAAAAATAATATTCTGTTAATAGTATGAAATAAAATAAAAAATAATAAATCATAATTATTACAATAATTTTGCAAGATCTTCTCAGTCATGCTACAAAGAAATATTTTTGAATTTTATACGTTTTTTAATAATTGATTTGTTAATGTATTACCAATCCTCTGCCTTGACATTTGTCTTTGGGCTGTGTGCGTACATATATTAATTCCATGTATGTGACACTATATTTTTAAAAGCGTCTTCTTTATCGCGACCGATCTTATTATTGGAAAAGATAATTATACGTGTCAGCTAAAATATCGACTCCTCGCAGATAATTATGTAATGAAATAATTATATTTGTAAAATAGACGAAATTTTATAAAAAAATTTATCTATGAAGAAAAGAAATTATTATACAATAAAATTTTAAAGAAAAAAATATGAAATTTATTTTGTTTAACAAGTATATTGATAAATTAAATTGTGATCTCCACCAATATTCAAATACAAAATAAAGTTTCAGTATAAAATCGAATTTCCGTTGATAGTATCTACTATTTTCTGTACTGTAAACTGTTTTCTATATTGCAAACGTTACTGTTATATATTTGATGTATCGACAAATAAAATCACTACGTATTGATAAAAAAAATTGAAAGGAAAATATTTCGTAAAAACAAAAAGTAATT